AAAGGATTCTGGCCTGGTAAATATATATCCAAGGAGCCATAATCAGGCGTGGCCATACTCCCAGCCTTATTTTTTAAGAAAAAAACTACTCATGGTATAGTAAGAGTACTGAAAATTCCTAATATTAATACATCTATTTTTTTCTGAAGTGTATTTTGTTAAGATGTTTTTCTAAACAACTTTCTAATCATTATTTTTATAATTATACTTTTAAGCAATTATTTTCTATTTTCTATACTTTTTATATAAAAAATAATTAGCCTATGAGTGTTACTCCTTTAATAGAAATTGTCTATCTTCCCTCTTATTCCCCAAAGTTAAATAACTTTAGGTATATGACAAAATTAAAAATCTATATACATTCAAAATAATATTAACCTGTAAATGAAGTCTATATACATGCCATCCAAAAACAAGGAAAACACTTTTTCTTCAGTCTACAAACCATATACTAAAGGTCTACACCACAGATCGCTGTGCTCCTCACCTCTAACACCCATACTTGACTTATACTTTGACCACTTTACTCCCAAAAGATACCCAAAGGTGCCTCTAGTGTACAATCTCTACTGTCTGTCTGTGTCTCTGTCCCTTCCACCTACAATCACAACAAACCTGTCCTTTTAAGATATTTTTCCCTTTTAATGCTTCCCTAGTTGTGGTGAGTAACAGGAGAAAAGTCAAAAAGGAAACAGGATCGACAAGATTATAGTATTTCGAAAGCTCTGCTTTGCAAAAACAGCTAAATTCTTCAGGGGTGTCCATCAAGTGTTTAGATGATACCCTTTTTTTAAAAAGCATGAGCATAACTTTGAATATTAGAATCAAATGTAATGGTTCTCAATATTTCTGGCTTACTAGAAATTTTTCTATTTAAACTGTACCAAACACTATACTACATACAGATCTCTCATCCAAATCATTTCATCGCAGGGGCCGGCCGAGTAGCTCAGTTGGTTAAGAGCGCGAGCTCTGAGCAACAGGGTCGTCTGTTCCATTCCCACATGGGCCAGTGAGCTGCGCCCAAGCTGAGCTGCCGCTAAGCTGCCAACAGGTGACAGGATGGCTCAGCTGGTGAGAGCACAGTGCTCTTAACAAGGTTGCTGGTTCAACTCCCTCCCACAAGGGATGGTGGGCTACGCCCACCCGCAACTAAGACTAAGGGACAACTTGGCTGTTCCCCTTTCGATTCCCCAATGCTGTTCCCCTTCCCCAATAAAATCTTAATAAAAAAGTTAAAGGGCCGTCCGAGTGGCGCGATGGTTAAGAACTCGCTTGGGATGCCAGAGGGCCCCGGTTCGGATCCCACATATGAGGGCCAGTGAACACTGCCCTCTACAGCTAAGATGCTGAACAACAGCTCAACCTGGAGCTGGGCTGCCATGAGTCGCTGGCGACGGCGTAGGCTGCAGCCCCTGTGGCAG